GGAATCGGTTTTCTTGAGCTCGAATTTCATGAAATCATCTCGCATTTCTCGGATTTTGATTTGAGGGAAACGTTGGTAGGAGATGCCCTCCATTGTTAGGGTTTCGGAGGTTTTTGATAGCAGGGTTTTTGTGAGGGAGAGAGAAAGAGGAAGCCTAAAACCCTTTGCCTGAGTGAGTGTTCGGGGTTTGGGAGAGTGGAAGAATAAATTTTGTTTGGGCTGGTAAAAGATTAAATAAAAATAGTAATTAAAAATCTTTTTTCACCAGGAGAATTAATCCTAACTCTGAGGGCATGCTTGGATTGGAGGGATGTATTACTAGGATAATAAAAGTTAAACTAAGCGAAATAAAAGTGAAAATAGGGAAGTCAAACTATCTTTTATCCTGTGCATTGTACGAGTTAAAAATTAAACTTCAATGTTTACCTACAAGTAAACTAGAGTAATTTTTCTCGTTTGATTGTTTAGATATTAAGTTACTACCTCTTGCAAACTATACCCTCTCACCATTCATCCACTACCACAATCCATGCTAGCAAGGTTCAAGGCCTCTAATGAATTTTCCTCTTGAACACCATCAAACCTTGATCGGTCGCAAAAATGCTACTAGTAACATACTCTCTATCTCCTCCCATAATTGGCATAGCTATTCCCATTTTCACTTGACTCACATAATCATCCTTATAAGTTTTTCCTAACACACCATCAACTCTTTCGGTTAGCGAGTTAAACTTAAACACGAGATCAAGATGAGCAAAGCAATTATCCTTAGTTATGTCATAATTGTGTACCCTTGATTCTTCCTCCAAAATGGGTACAACTTTAGTTGTGATCTTGAGTTTTCCTTGGACTTCAACAAGAACATTGTTGGTTTCACTAGTCCTTGTTATGGTGACCTTTGGCATTGAGGTGGACGACCATTTAGACCTTAGATGTTCTTTGAGGTATATCGGCTCACCATCTAGGGCTAACGCTAGGCGGACATTGACATCGTCCCATGTGGAGGTTTTTTGTGCGCCTAAGAAAAGACGATGGTTGTCGAAGAGAATACCTATAAACTTCACCCATGTGAAGTCACGAGTCATGTTTTCATTTCTTTTCCTATGAAGTGTGCATTAATGTGGAGGTTGGGGTCGCTCACGATCGGCAAAAGTCTCTATCTTTCTTGCCATGGAAGTAAAAGGTGATGCCATCTCCTCCTACGAAACGAGGGTCTTGACATACTGCTCCTAGATAGTCACAATAATCTACCAAGTACAAAATACTACCTCCGTTTCTGAAAGTTCGACTCACTTACTATTCATGAGGTCAAAATAAAATAACTTTGACCACATTTAATGACTTATACAATATAAATAAATTAACATATGGGATCTTATTAGATTACCCTTATTATAAAATTTTCAAATATCAATTTTTTATAATTTTCACTTATACATAGTCGAAAATATTCATGGTCAAAGATGTTCATTGGAGACCGCACAAATGTAAAGTGAGTCGAACTTTCAGAAATGGAGGGAATATATAATTAGTGACCAATTTATAACCTAGCTAAACATTTGTGAAAAAATTCAAATTATTTTTATCATCAAGGAGAACAATGGATATAAATCAACATAATATATGTTATAGAGTAATTGTGATTTTGATAGGAGTTGTTATATACAATACTTACTGCAGACTGGTTTGCAACTGGCGCAATCAACTTGACATGAAGTTGGGCAACTCGCACGACAAACATGCTCTTGATTATAACATTGTCCATAGGTCTTATTCTTGCATCGTACTCTCTTTCTTGAGGCAACACCAGAATTAGGAGGATGGAGGAGATGGTGTTAAGGGGGTAGGAGGAGATGATGTGGGGGGTTTAGGAGAGGGAGTTGCCGGGGTTGAGGAAGGTGTTGGGGATGATGGTGGAGTTTTAGGTTGTGTTGAAGGGGTGGGAGGTGTTGGATAAGGTGATGATGGTGGAGTTGATGGTTTTAGAGGCGGTGTTAATGGGGTAGGAGGCGGAGAGGGGGTTGGGCTTGGTGGCGTTTTGAATTGGGTGGTGTTGAAGGGGTGGGGGGTGTTGTATATGGCGATGATGGTGGAGTTAGTGTTGGAGGTGGGGATGACGGTGGAGTGGGAGTAGGAGAAGGTGTTGGTGTTGGTGATGATGTTGGGGTGGGAGTAGGAGGAGGTGTTGGTGAAAATGGTGTAGGAGGATAATATGGTGTTGGAGTTGGACTAGAAGGAGGTGGTGATCCGAAAGTGTCATTACCCGGACCATAAGTAGGCTTGCAAGAAGCACATACATTCAATTGTGCAACTATCACGGCAAAAACTTAGGACAAACATGCTCTAAGTAATAACACGTCCTGTACTTTTTATCCTTATACGATGCTCGTGCACGATTTTTGGCGATCCTAGGAGGAGTTGCTGCCTCCATCATAAATGACGCCAACAATATGACCAATAAACACCCAAGATAAAATATCTTGGGTAGAGCCATTTTGCAAGTCTATCTCTTAATTAAACAATCAAGCAGAAATAGCTAGGTTAATGTTATGTTGTATACGAAGGTATAACTGAGTACTATACTATCTAGCAACATAGCACATAACTACTTATATAGATGTATTCATGTGTAGGCAGTCCAGGCCAATTTGCATACATCTTAATTAATATCGGTATCTTTTGTTAATGTAAGGTGAAAGAGTTAAGTAAACTCCAACAAATGATTGGAAATATATATTTTCCATTCCTTTTAAGTCATCTTCGCAATTCCACATGCAACTACTCCGTAATTCCGTAAGACCTAACATTCATAGTTGTTAGAATCCTCCTCTTTCTCTATGTATCCCCCTTCCTTTTTCCTTGTATTTTCCTTATGTATTGTCTTCTAAGTCTTTCTCCGCCTCTTTCTCTATATATCCCCCCTTCCCTTTTCCTTGTATTTTCCTCATGTATTGTCTTCTAAGTCTTTTTTTATGCTTTCTAGGCTCTAGGGAGAATTATTGTGTTACTGTAGTTTCAGTGTTCACTAGTAATTCTCTATGTAATCAATATAAAACTCTTTAGGGAGCGAATGGTCGAATGAATCAAAGCTCCCTACCCCGTTGCATATTGCTTTAAGACTTGTGTGTTGATTAAAGCCTTTATAGATATTGTGCTTGCCTTGTTTTAAAGCATCCCCTCTAAACCAAGAAAACCTCAAAAGACGCCTTCATTGTCGTCGGTCCTGCTTGTGCCCACTTCGAAATATCGGCCGTCACAAGCCCCGACTCCGCACTCGTTGTTGACGAGTGCTTCCTTGAGATACCTTTGGTCTTTGTTGCTGTGTGCTCACGAACCCTTTTCGCTCTAGGCTTGCGTCTTTGTCGCCAAAAGACAAGAGGGCGCCGCACGATCTGGTGTCAGAACTCTCGGACCATGACAATAGGCCTTGAAGTGCTTGTGTGATTCTAATAATAAGCAAAGTCTTTAAATATATATATTGTCTTCCTAAAATATGGTATTGTGCAATATGACAAATGGAGGGTTGCCAACCTTTTCTTGATGTTTAGTTTATCATCCTAATAAACACATGCATGATATATATACTGTTGTTATCTTTCGATTTTATAGATGGCATTCAACAATTTTGACGATATAGAACCATATATTACATGTTGATTTATTTTTGGTACGAGGCTCATTATTGTCGAATAAGTCGAAAAGAGAAGTTAAGCATAAATGCATACTATTTGGATTATATATTTGATCGATCTATAATAATTTCAACTTTATCTTAAAAATACTACATAGAATAGTAATTAAATTGGACCTTACCCTCAAAAAGGAGCCACAATATTAGAAGAAAGGACAAAAAAAGGACCTTTGATTGTTAACCCTGCCACGTTGTTGGATATTATAATTTGATTTTAAAAAATGAAGCAAAATGTAAAATGTTTTTAGTGAATTGTGATAATAGGATTAAGATAATGATACTTTGTCTAGCAGAAAGAAATGCTTAGTCCCTAGTCATTCGAAATTTTCAAGCATTTTAAGCAACTTTACAGCTATTATACGTATAGATCTGGAGGAGATCGAATAAATTATCACCAAATTGAATAGTTAAATAGATTTTCTGACTAAATTGGAATGCACCTATAGTCATGTATATTTTGTGAAAGTTCGGGACTGATGTTAATTGTTGCATTGAAGGTATGTGTTACTGCGTGTTATATAGATGCAAAAAATATCCATAAACAACACACAAATTACGTGGTTTCTCCAGATTGACAAGCTCAGAGAAAGTTTAATTGATTTTGAGAAATATATTAGTCTTGTCAAAATAAGTAGGCCGGCCAATGTTAAAACCTATGAGGTTGATATATATATAGTACGGACTACGGAGTACTCTCAAAACAAAAATGAAAAAAGCTCAAACAGACTCTCGTCTTTTCTTTTAGAGTTGAATTATAATTTGGGGAAGATTTTAACTGTTGCTTACCATCACTTGCATCTTTATGTATTTTCACTCTTGTTTTGGATCATTCAATATTCATTTTTTTTTTTTTTGGATCATCAGATGTATACATATTGTTTTATAGTGTACAAACTAAGTTGTCGTCCAATATTGTGTGCAGTGATTAATGTACATAGCATTAATTAGTGCTTAATTTAATCATGTTGTGAAGGAAGTTTAATTTACTTCAACATAACATACTCCACCTCCTAGTTAGGTTCACCTGTTTTGGCTATAATATCCATATGATATACGAAATACTTCTTATATGAGCATATTGGAAAATTGGAAACTAATTCGACGTATCCAATCCAGCCTCTTGAGATAGATTAATCCATGAATTCCATTTGCAACAAGGTTTATTGCTATATATGGATAAAGACCATAAACCATATATACTGGTTGAAACCAAAGGAAATAACCTTGAACACTCACTTTCGTTACTTATCAAGTACAAAAACAAACATATTGAACAAATCTGAATAATTAAGTATATATTACTGTATATTTTAATAGATGAAGTGTGTAATCCATCATCTTACAACTTCATATAATTTTTATTACAAACATCTTAGGTATCTAATAATAAATCTTTTTTAGTACAAAGATTCTTGCATAGCATGGAAATATATATAATATTGACTTGTAATCATCTTTTGCAAACTACCCCAGCCCCTGTGCCACTAGCACAGTTCATGCTAGCAACTTCCAAGGCCTCTAATGAAGCCTCATCTTGGCCACCATTAAACTTCGAAGCCAAGCAATCAGTAGCGAAAATGCTACTAGTTACATACTCCCTTTCGCCTCCCACGACTGCCATGGCTGCTCCTACATTCACCTTGCTAACATAGTTATTTCTATAAGTTTTTCCCAACACACCATCAACTTTGCCAGTTAATGAGTAGAACTTAAAACCTAGGTCAAGATGCGCGAAGCAATCCTCGTTGGTTATCCCGTAGTTGTGCACCCTAGACTCTTGCTCGGTAATAGGTACAACCTTAGCTGTGATCTTGAACTTTCCTTCAACTTCAATAACAACGTTGTTGGTTATACTATCAACTCTTGTAATGGTTACTTGTGGAGTAGATGTGGATTGCCATTTGTAGCCTAGGGTTTCCTCTAGGAAAATTGGCTCTCCATCGAAAGTTAATGAAAGGCGGTCATTGGCATCATCCCATGTGGAGGTCTTCTTGGCTCCTAAGAAGAGACGGTGGTTGTCGAAGAGGATTCCGGTGGATTGAACCCAAGTGAAGTCACGGCCCATGTTTTTGTTTCTTTTTCCTATGAAGTGTGCGTTGATGTGGAGGTTGGGATCTGTTACGAGGCAAAAGTCTTGTTCTTTTTTACCATGGAAGTAGAAGGTAATGCCGTCTCCTCCTATGAATCGAGGGTCTTGACATACTGCTCCCGGATAGTCACAACCTATATATATAAAAAAATAAATAAAATTTCTGTATGTGGACTTGAATTTAAGACTTAAAGCACAAACTCAATGCATTACTTGTATTACAAAGCTAATTTGATGTTACTTATTGCATTAAAATTGTATTTAACCTATAAATTTACACCTTCACCTAAATAAAAAAATAAATTTTTGCCGGGGCCAGTGCCACCCAGACCCCTTAATAGATCCGCCCCTAGGAGTAATACTCTCCGAATTAGAATTAGCATTAATAATGAGCATATAGCATGATTTTTATTTGATCTTGGTATATGTATATGTTGTAGATTGCAATATTACTTGTTATAAAAACCAATTATTTTTACTCATTTAAAGTAACACAAAATTTCAAAAAATTAAAAATTAGGAAATTTAAAATAAATTCAAAAAGAAAAAGATGATTAAGCTGAAAAAAGTTTAGGATCAGATAACAATCATACTGCAGACAGGCTTGCAAGTGACACAATCAACTTGACATGAAGTAGGACAATTAGCCGGACAGACATGCTCTTGATTATAACACTGTCCATAGTAATTATTCCTGCATCGAACTTTCTTTCTAGAGGCAGCGCCAGAAGAATTAGGAGGAGAAGATGGTGATCCTGAATCATCATCATCATCATCGTCTTTCTTACCACCTTTATCATCGTCGTCTTTCTTACCACCTTTATCCTCATCGTCTTTCTTGCCACCTTTATCATCGTCGTCTTTCTTACCGCCTTTATCATCTTTGTCTCCATCTTTCTTGCCACCTTTATCGTCTTTATCTCCATCTTTCTTATCATCTTTGTCTCCGTCTTTCTTGCCACCTTTATCATCTTCGTCTCCATCTTTCTTACCACCTTTATCATTTTTATCATCACCACCTTTGTCACCATCATCATCACCTCCTTTCTTACCACCTTCATCTGAATCAGACGGAGGAGAGACATACTCATCCTCAGGAGGCGATGATCCTGGACCACAAATGGGCTTACATGAAGCGCATTCAACTGTACAACTATCAGGACAAAACTTAGGGCAAACATGCTCTAAGTTATAGCACATTTTATACTTTTTGATCTTACATGACGCTCTTGAAGGATTTTTGGTGATTCCTGGAGGAGTTGCGGCCTCTATCACGACCACCAATAACAAAACAAAACACCCAAGATAAAATACCTTGGGCAAAGCCATTCTGCTAAGAGGGTTAACATTGGTTATCATCAAGTGTTTAATGCTTAATATATTCCCTATTCACCCTAATATGAAAAAAAAAGAAAAGAAAAGTTAATATTAAACTCCATGGGTTTGGATTTGACTCCTACTCCGTGAACACTTAAAACTAAGTGGTAGGTTATTTGGAATTTCCTATGTTATAGTCACACAAATGATATGGCGAAACTGTATAGGCCTCGTCAATTAATTATTTATATTAGTGGAAAAAATACCTTCTTTTGATTCTTAAAAAAGACGGGAGGGAGTAACATTATTACATGATTTTAATGGATTTTTGTCGGAAAAAGTCCTATGAGTTTTAAACTTTTAATCCTTGCATATTATCAGTTAAACTACAGACTTGAAGTTCTAAAATACAAAAGGCAATATCGAAAGCAACCATCCTTAATATGCCTTCCATCTAGAAACTTTTGTTATCATCATTTGAATCATGATAGTGAGTAATTTGAATATCTCTTCGTTCATGTATGCTAGTGTGTAATTTGAAGTTGTATAACAATATGGAGGTAGTAGCTAATTTCACTCTTGCTAATTAAAGGTATTAATTTTGTTAATTAGGGAGAAAAAACAAAAAAGGACCTTTGATTGCTAATTATGCCACCTTTTTTTTTTCCATTTTACAAATTGATATCACTTTGATCCAAAGAAAAGAGAGGCATATATTTTTTCACATGTAGCAACACTACAATAACTAAATTAATGGGCACAATTTGATTAATTGAGAGCTAGCTTATCTTATGGTGCTTATGATTGAAGATGGATATCAGATAAGTAAGGGATTGAATCAAATTGGAGAGATTAATTATCAATTAAGAAATCAAATACTTAATATTTAGTCAATTGGGGTTTTGCCTTTTGAGGTAAGGTGGAGTTTAATTGAAGCTAAATTTAGAAAGGGATTAATAAATAATTGTCTTACAAATTAAATATGTTGCATAGTATGGCACAAAATAATTAATTGTCACTTGAAACAATTAGTGCTAGGAATAGTTTTGGATTAGTAACCTTAGGATGAAATTTAGATATTAAATTGGAATTGCCTCTACATGAAGTCATGAACATGGCCAGATTCAAAGAACATGTGTTTACTTCAGTGCCAAGTTGGTTGATATTAGACCTGGCAATCCTGACCCATACCCGATGACCCGACCCGAATGACTCGACCCATGACCCGAAATTGATCCGACTCGTCCCATACCCAACCCGAAAATGGAGTTGACCCGATCCTGACCCGACACCCGAACTGACCTGACCCGAAGTTGACCCGACCCGAAATTGACCCGAAGTGTTTGACTTGAACAAACCCGATAACTAAATTGGCCCGAACAGACCCGATAACCGAAATGTCCCGAACTAAAATTACCTTATAATTGAACTTAAAATGTCTTGTACCAAAAGTAACTCAAATTGTTCATCTTCAACCGTACCTAAGCTCATAAATTGAATTGATAGTTTTTATTATAACAATAACAAAATAAATACTCCGTATAAAATTATTCATTTGAGCTTGATTCACAAATGAAACAACCCGAACATGACCTGACCAGATTTTGATCTGACCCAAATATGACCCGTACATACTTGACTCGAAATTGACCCGACCCGAACTTGACCCGATACCAAACCCGAAGTTGACCTGAAACCCGAATCGACCCAACCTTAGCTGACCCGAAATGACCCGACCCGAAAGTGACCTGACCCTGACCCGACCCAAATGACCCATTTGCCAGGTCTAGTTGATATGGACTACAAGAAAAAAGAGTTTATTTCCAAATTGCATCACATGCTCACAAAATTATGCTAGTGAAGTTTAGAACAAGACGATTCTGATCAAGTTCGGTTTAAGTCATACTCGAGCTATGATTCAGTTGATTCAATTTTAGAGATCATATTCTAGTTGCTTCTTTCTTGATGAATAAGTTAACATGAACTCATTAGTTCTCAGGTCCAGTTAGTTTGGTTTAGGCAAAATCTTGTCTATGCTATCTCTTCATTCTTAACGATCAGAATGAAGTAGTGATAAGATGCTGCTTACTAACTGATGATACCAAATTATGAGCAAAATACTCGAATCTAACAGTGGATGGCTTCATTGAAACCATCTGAAACTCAGCATTGCTACAGGCAGCAGAGAGATTGGGTAACTCGTTGGAGACGTAGTTTTATCAAAGGAATACAGAAAACAGGACTTGGAGAAATTTATTCTAGTTGCTAGTTGTATGAGCTGTTTGAGCATTCTAGAATTTAGATTACATATTTACAATAACAAGCATCATGCAGCCACATGCCCACGGCACAGTCGGTATGGACTTTAAGCGATCTGGCATTTCTACATAGTATGATCACTCGAAGTCGTTTGATATCCAGAGTCCACTGCCAGAAACTCATAATTCCTGCAATGAATCACAAACCATAGTTCATTCGCCAGATATTATGCTTCTATTCTGGTTGTGATTCAACCTTAATTGCACAAAAGACTACCTTTCTATCAGGATGGTAGTGAAATACAGAAAACAATTCGGCAACTCTAGCAAAATGGTATTAGTAATATATTCAAAATGCTACAGCAATAATGTACATAAGCACATAAACACAAATTTCAACCTTGGAACAGGCCAACAAATGAGGCTTGACAATTTTCACTTTTCCTGTATTTTGTCAAGCCTTGAGAGGTACTCCGTAAGAGAGAGCACATAGTACAAACATTTGAAAGTTTACAACTATTAATGTTTTCTAGCAGTACTTGAAACAAATTGGAATAAGATCCACCAACTTATGGTGTTTTAATTATGTAAGACAATTTGCTTAAAACAAAGTGCATCCCAATCAGCCTTTGATCTAATTGGAACGAAATCAACTTACATTCAGAGTTTCATTTTATGAGAATGCATCTTATAGGTGATCCCTCAGCACCAAGCATCCTTAGGGGCAAGCAATGAACATTGTACATTCCTGCAGGGACGCCGTCCAGCTTTAGAGCTTCTACGAGTATAATTTCCTGCAGCATAACAATAGGATTAGTACTACCGCCACACTAAAACTGTTGTGATTCTACCTTAACACAGTAAAAGAATGCAACAATTATTAAGGAAAAGAACAAAAACTCATACACTTCTCATCACATTGTCATTTTAAATTACATACAGAACTGCAGATGACATGACACCCTAAATTGCCAGACCCAATTTTCAAAAGTTACATTCACAGTTTCACACCTATAATACCCTTCCAATCCCAGTGGGAAAAACCAATGTCTATGGCTACATGATGGCCATTGGTTACATACACGAAATCAAACCCAAGGAATTTGCCCCTAACGAAGGCCAGGCCATATAATGCTTTAATGAACCTAGTATGGAACCAAATACACCCAATAAAAAGTCAGATTGAGTCATTTGAATAGAAAGTTATGTTTTCAGAAGCTCTGCAAACCCCCAAGGCTTTTCATCTGCACAAGTACCAATTGTTTTGTATGTTGTATTTTCAGAAGCTCCGTCTTGCCCCCAAGGATAACTTCCAGTTCACATAAGTTGTCTGCACTCGAAATTTCTAATCAATGTTAGCTGATATAACCAATGAGGATCAATTTGAGCAAAGTTCTTACCCTGCTTGCGAGGAAAACAAGATGAGAAGAAGCCAGGTGATCATATGCAGCAGCAGATAAGTAATCAACACCTACAACATTGATGTGATATTAGTAAACTGCATGTAAACTGTCTTATAATATCACAGATTTCAGCATTGTTCATTTATGAACCTCTTCAAAGGATGACAGCAACAAACAACCTAATATCCATCAGGACCATCACAAACACATTTTCTTAATTTCATTCAAAACAGAACAACGGAGACTTGAATTGTATATAAACATTTATAAAACAGCATATAATTTCATTCTACCAAAGCGTGAGAAGAAAATGCCAAACAACTCAAAAGCTGCCTCCGTCTCAATAGTTTGTGAAAATTGATTGATGGTCAATTTTTTGTAAAAGAGCAGCTAAATAATTACATTTCTGATTTCAAGGGATATATTTCCCACTATGACATTATTTGACTGACAGGTGAAGCAAATTATCTGCAGACTGAAGGGATGTGGAATCCTTGTGAAAAAAACTTACCAACAAGCTTGATGTCTGTATTATCCACCAACCATTTTGCCCCATCTTTCATGAAACCCACATAGCTAGTATCAAACTCCGTATTGAACATGAGGCCCCTAGAATGACAAAATTACATTTTTAGAATTGTTGCACCTTTGGACAAAATGATTGAAGAACAAGATGCAGAATATGTCAATGCAGTTCAATCGTGATAGATTTAAGCTACGGTACACTCTTCTAGCAATCTTGTGCAGGGAAGCAAATATGATACTAGGCCACATGCCAGACCTGGCTAGTTGTACCTTGGTCCTTGCCAATAAAAAAAAAAAAAAAAAAAAAAAAAAAAAAAAAAAAAAAGGTAGCTAATGGATGATCAAGTATGTTCAAGAACAGCACCAGATGTTAAATCTACCTGTCTGTGTTAAGAGTTCTGAAAAGCACACGGCGTACTCCTTTTGGAATGTGTAGTGACTTCATTACATCCGCTGTGAAAAAATAGGTATATATGGTGTTGTTAGTCTATTATTCAGTGACAGCATTTTAGGGATACAAGTGAAACCATTATTCTAATAGCTTTTTTTCCCCTAAATTTTTCTAATGCCAAGTAACCAGCTCATCAGAGAAATGAAAACTCTTCAGTTAACCTTGCACACTTTTAAAGGCACAAAACGAGAAGGTGAACAAACAGAATTTTAGGAGGGGTACCAGTTATGTTGCTATCCCTTGGTACATCAACCAAAAGGGCAGGACCTGTAATAAAAAACAAACAACAGCAATAAGCAATAAGCAATTAAATGATTAACAATATCTAATCATTAGCCAAATATCCAAAAATCAAACAAAAGCCAATTACTATCAATTCAATAAAACTAATATTTTACGAAAGAGTAGAATAACAAGCATCACCATCATCTTGCTAAACATAACAGCAAATACCCATTAACTCTAGATAATGATGTAGTCTGACTCAATCTCAGGTCTTGAGTACAACCACTACAAGTCTATGACTTTATCAAATAAGCCACTTTACCTGATAAGCTA